TGAACTAATTTATTTAATACATGTGGAATCCACCTTATTGGCTTGCTAGCTCCTTGAGGCCACACACTTTTATATTTGCGAACATTCTTACCAAACGACAGGGCTGATGGGAGTGCACACAGAGTGTTTGCGTTTCTACACAAAGCTCTCTCTGTGCCACGTTTCTCTAAGCTCCAAGGATACACTAGAAGATTATTCCATGCTATAGACTAATGTCCACAAATATCAAACTATTACCATGTTTTGGGTCTGTGGGAACATAAAGTTTGTGTTCTTTTAAAATCCTCATTCATGATTTTAAGCATAACAAAATTACTTAAAATGTACTATTTTGTTTTCTGAAGGCCAAATACCAGGGATTAATTTTTATGTGGAAAATTTCATCTCAGAGCAAAATTTTATAACATAGTCATAAACCTCAAAGAATGGGAATTTGTAACAGACAGAGCCATGATTCTTAACAAGAGCTGCATTAACAGGCAGACGAGACACATAAAATGGCTCCAAGAGCCTCGTGGCAGCATGTGGAGATGCGGAATCTTTTACGTGGATTTGCAAGTTAATTCATCCCCTTGGTGCCCAAAAGAAATTGGGCAATCAGGCTAAAAAAAAAATCAATGAAGTCATCATCAGTCCACTGGCATCCTTCGGTTAGTTTCAGTGGCTGCTACATTTGTTGACTGTTGGGTAATTCTGAGCTCGCTGGCCACTGAGCAAAACAATGGGTGAGTGGCTGGGTGGGAGTGTCAGAGTCAGATTGCCCCAGCTCCAACTCCTCGCCGGCCTCTCACCAGCAGTTTGCTCTTGGACAGAAGACTCACCCTCTCTGAGCCTCAGTTTCCCCATCTGTAAAGTGGTACCAAGAAAAATGTGCCTCACAGGGTTGGCGTGAAGATAAGAGATAATATAGTACTTGAAAATGCCTTGCACATAGCAGTAAATCTTTATGAATGTTTACAAATGCTAAATTTTTGCTGCAGTACCATTAAAAAGCTATTTCTAATCCTTTTTTTTTCTTATTTTATTTTACTTAAAGTTCTAGGATACATGTGCTGAATGTGCAGGTTTGTTATGTAGGTATACATGTGCCATGGTAGTTTGCTGCACCTATCAACCTGTCATCCAGCTTTTAAACCCTGCGTGTATTAGGTACTTGTCCTATTGCTCTCCCTCCCTATGCCCCCCACCCCTCGACAGGCCCAGGTGTGTGATGTTCCCCTCCCTGTGTCCATGTGTTCACATTGTTCAACTCCCACTTTTGAGTGAGAACATGTGGTATTTGCTTTTCTGTTCCTGTGTTAGTTTGCTGAGGATGATGGTTTCCAGCTTCATTCGCATTTCTGCAAAGGACATGAGCCCATTCTTTTTTGTGGCTGCATAGTATTCCATGGTATATATGTGCCACATTTCCTTACCCAGTCTATCATTGATGGACATTTTCGGGTTGGTTCCAAGTCTTTGCTACTGTCAACATTGCTACAGTAAACATACGTGTGCATGTGTCTTTATAGTAGAATGATTTATAATCCTTTGGGCATATACACAGTAATGGGATTGCTGGGTCAAATGGTATTTCTGGTTCTAGATCCTTGAGGGATTGCTACACTGTCTTCCACAATGGTTGAACTAATTTACACTCCCACCAACATTGTAAAAAAAAAAAAAAAAACTAACAATCCCTTCAAAAAGTGGGCAAAGGATAGGAACAGACGCTTCTCAGAAGACATTTATGCAGCCAACAAACATATGAAAAAAAAAGTTCATCATCACTGGTCATTAGAGAAATGCAAATCAAAACCACAATGAGCTATCATCTCATGCCAGTTAGAATGGCGATCGTTATTTCTAACTCTTCATGTGATATTTATCTGTGAGAATTTCTGTTGTGAGTGAAGCTTCCGTGGTGGGGCAGGCTGTGGAGGGGGAGGCAGCGGGGTGCGCTGAGAAGCCCTGGGGGTGAGAGCTGGGGCCAGGCCCGGGGCTGGGCAAGATGCTATAACTGGGGCAGAGCCCCACTTTAGCACTCAGAAACTTTTTTCTGAAGCTAATGAGCTGAGTAGCCCCCGAGCTACTCATACTTGGAGTGGCTGAATGAGAGCTGAAATCTCAGTTGATCACTTCCAATCAGATCCCTGCCCTAAGCTGCCTCTTTTTGGCCATTCACAACAGCAAGGTTCCACCCACCTTAGCTTGTCCCATGCAGGTCTCAGCTAGTAGTTGATCCTTAGAGCCTTTTTGGTTCCTTAAAAAAGCAACTACCTGGAGATGGAACCTTCAATGAGCTCAGCCACACAGAAACACTTACCTATAGGACTCCATTGAAGGTCCAGTGCGTTTCCTCCTAAGGACTGTAAACATTCGGGTAAATATTTGTCAGATGGATTAAAGAACTGAAGACCTTTATAGAGGAAACCCTGAAGATATCCTTACAGTCTCAAGTCCTTGTTGCTACCAACAAACTGTTCTGAAAGTGTGTATCTTCGGTGACCCTGCCTTGCTCCATTTTCAAGGTCTCTGCTGCACACGTGGATGCCTTTTAAGCTCTGAGATGTGCTGGTGACTGCACAAAACTCCCATTAGAAGTGGTAACCATCAGAGTACTTATGTGAAAGCTGCAATGTAAAGATGATGCGGGAGGAGAGAGTTCTGAATGCAAATGTTTTACACTTTCATGCTTGTGTGTTCCACAGGCTTCTCTCTCCCACGCCTTCTGCCATTTTCTTTGAATGACAGGAAAAGAAATTTTGGCAGCCCTCAGCTAAAGAGCCCAGTGATGCCCATGCTGCCATGCAGCTAGGGTGAGCTGTGTATCAGGGCATGAACCATGAGTCACAACTTGACCTCGGAACTTCATTCTGAAGCAAGCATCATCTTCAGGTGGTGCTTAAAAGGGAATAGGAATAAAACTGAAGGACAGTATCTAGTGCATCCACCCAGACAGCCCCTCAGCAGGGGCTGGGAGAGGGCCTGTGCCTCTGTTAAGCCACAAATTCCAAGACAGCCTCTACACTGTGTCCCCAGACCTCACAGGAGCGCTCAGCACGTGTGTGTGTGTGTGTGTGTGTGTGTGTGTGTGTGTGTTTGTGTGTGTGTGTGTGTGTGTGTTAGATGTGGGCAATGTTTTCAAAGTAAACTTTCATTCATAAAGTCAAAAGTTTTGAAAGTGATTTTTAAGTGGGTTGAACTGTGAGAACATTAAACTGAGTGAGCAAAGAGCTTAATTAAGATCAGCTCCGTGGCTGCGCCCAGTGGCTTATGCCTGTAATTCCAGAACTTTGGAAGGCAAAGGCTGGTGGATCACTTGAGGTCAGGAGTTCCAGAACAGCCTGGCTAACATGATGAAACCCCATCTCTACTGAAAATGCAAACATTACAAAAATTAATTGGGCATGTTGGCGACCGCCTGTAATCCCAGCTACTCATGAGGCTGAGGCAGGAGAATCACTTGAACCCAGGAGGCGGAGGTTGCAGTGATCCAAGATGTCGCCATTGCACTCCAGGCTGGTTGACACAATGAGGAAGGAGGGAGGGAGGGAGGAGAGAAGGAAGGAACAAAGTGAGGAAGAAGGGAGGAAGGAAAGCAGAGAGGGAGGGAGAGAGGGAGGGAGGGAGGAAGGAAGGAAGGGAGGGAAAAGATCGGCTTCCACGGCCAAGATGCCCAGTGACAAGAAAGTCAGCCAAACACAGTAAGTGCATTGAGACACTGGGGAATAGCCTGTGGCCATTAAAATGAAAAAAACATACATTTTTAAAAATATATATGAAGTATTCATTTTATATAATGTTAAACCCCAAAGCAGGCAATTTGTAACCATTTCAAAATGCAAATATGTCCATTAGCAAAGGACAGAAGAACTTTCCAAGTATCGTGAAGTTCACCAAAGCCCTATTTTTTTTTTTTGAGACAGAGTTTTGCTCTTCTTGCCCAGGCTGGAGTGCAGTGGTGTGACCTCAGCTCACTGTAAACTCTGCCTCCCAAGTTCAAGCAATTCTCCCACCTCAGCCTCCCAAATAGCTGGGATTATAGGCATGTGCCATTACACCCAGCTAATTTTTGTGTTTTTAGTAGAGACAAGGTTTCACCACTTTGGCCACGCTGGTTTTGAACTCCTGACCTCAGGTGATTCGCCCACCTTGGCCTCCCAAAATGCTGGGATTACAGGCTTGAGCCACCCTGCCCAGCCCCCAAAGCCCTAATTTTAAGAAACAGACAGGTACAGTGGCCTGCAGCACTCCTGGCTGAGGCCCTGGCTTGAAAGCAAGCCTACCACGTGACTGAGCCTGACCAGGAAGTGCGGGCCCAAGTGGCAAGGAGCCGCAGGGCTCCAGGGACTAGGGGGGCTGGCAGCCAGGGAGGGGTAGCTTGAAGTGGCAGCAGCTTCTAATACTCTCTGAAGCTGCCTCTTCCTGAGGGCAATCCCCTCTTCATTCACCTGGCAGGGTGACTCTGAGAAGTCAGGGAAAGTCTGACACAGGGAGGAAAGTTCCATTTTTAATTTGGAAATTGCTCAGGAAGAATCACACCATCTGGATTTCCTGGGCTGTATGTTAATACAATGGTCACTTTTCTTGCTGAAATTCTCTGGTTTCCCTTTATCCACGTGAAGCCTCTGGAGATTCTTCTGGGTGGTTCTTTTGTTGCTTTTCTGCCCCTGCTCCCAAAAATGAGAACATGAGAAAGTGATGTCTTCCAGCCACCCGGAGGACCCCGCGGTGACATCAGGGCCCAGTCCTTGCTGTCATGCCCCAGGTGATGTGCTGGGCTGACAGCGGGCGGGCTGCTAACGTCAACTGTCCTGGTTTCTAAGGCTGGTAGTAACCAACAGAGTTTAGTTTTGCTTTGACAACTCCTCCCACAGCCAAAACTATTGTTGTGGCCCACATGTCATTCCTATTTACCCTAAATAAGGAAAAACAAAGGCTATTCTGGGCGTCGGGCAGTGCTTGTGGCGGAGGTTATTTGCAGTGTTACCATGGCAGGCTGCCCTTTCCACCACAGCCACCCCGTGATTTTCTCTGAAAACTGCGACAGACAGAATCGCAGCCTGCCCTGAATTTTCTTCACACAGCCTGGGGGCATCCAAATGCACAGGAGATGTTTTACACTCAGATGAAACAAACTGTTTAGACCTAGGGAAAAGAGACTGTGCCTGAACAAAATGAAGCAAGAGAAAGCGCCCTCCTGAGACATGTCTCTGCTTTCGTGTTTGAATTGCCTGGGATTCTTTTCTCTAATTTCTGATCCTTATAAACTAAAACAGCGTAGGAACATTGAGCGTCCTGACTTTGAAGGAGTCTGTGGTGTTTTTGTGTTACCATACATGGGGAATAATGATGTGAGGCAGAGGGAGAGGGAAGGAATGGGAGAGCCGAGAGGGGAAGAGAGAGCCGGAGGGAGAGGAGCAGGCAGCGTTTCCTGCTGTGGGTAGGACCTCGCCCCTTACCAGTGCAGAGCTTGGCTGCAAGAGCCGCTGCGAGCTGCTCCTATCAGTTAGAGGCTGTGGAGAGGGAGCACCAGGAGAGGACAGCCTGGCTCGCAGCCTGAGGGGCGCTGTGGGTACTCCCGGCTGGGCGCACACACTCCTGGAGCGGATCTGCAGGGGAGAAGCATGCCAGCCTAACGTGAGCGTCCTGCCTGTCGCGTGTCCTGTCTTGGTAAGCGCCCTCTGCGGTCCTTCCACACTGAAAGCTTCCAGCAGAGATCAAGGGAAGGAGTATTGTGTGAGATTTGCAGATTTCCTCTTTTCTGTCTGGAATGGTTTGATATTTGCCTGTTGAAAAGATTATTGAATGCAGTGAGACAAGATGAGCCATCTAGCTGCGTTCTTGTCTGTGTGTGTGACATGTCCAGGTGTGAGGCCAAACCCGAGAGGTGCAGACTGCTCACTGATAGACGTTGCTGTAAACGGCACTGCCCTGGGTGTCAGCTGGTCTCAGGATCGGAGACCCCGGACTTATTCTCTGCTCGGTAACACGGCGGGCTTCCTGCCGCAGAGTTCCTGGTTTCTGTTGATGGCAGTTGATAATTGGTAGCCACAGTCTGCGGTCAGAGCCACAGCGTTTGAGTCTAGCACCTGGGGTGGGCCCCGCTGATACAGTAGAGAGAGAGTGAACGAGGCAGACAGAAACACACACCGCCCCCCCTCCACGTTCACACACTCTCCCACACCCCACGCCGGCTATAACTGCAGCTCTGAGCTGCCTGGAGAGGAGATTGCCGGAAGCTGAAGGGATGCTTTGAACGTAGGGGGCTGCGTCACGGTTGGACTCCCACTTGTAGAGGACCTGATTATGTCCAGTGACCACCTGAACAACAGCACACTGAAGGAGGCTCAGTTCAAAGACCTGTTCTTTAAAAAAGGTACATTTCCTGAGAACTGCCTTGGATGATGCATGCTCTTTCGGGTTGGTGTGGTTCCTCTTTGAGTTTGGTCTGAGGACAGAGCTGAGAAGAGGAGAAGCTCTTTCTCAAGAAGTTTGTTTCTACCTAAGAGGGTTCTGTCAACTCAGAACATTTCAGGGTGGGACTCCCTTTAGGAAGATGCATGTCAGGCTTTTTCATCTTCTTTCAAGTCTGGAATTAGTTTGTTCCTGTTGGAGGTGTTATGATGAGTACACAGTTTGTTGCTTTGGAGTTTTGTTTTTTTCAAATGTCTATATATGAGGCTGAGACCTCCTCTGGAAATTCTGTTACTCATTGATAACATTGAGAGGTCCTTTTTCTTCATCCTGAGGAGTTGAAAACTGCATTTTAAAGAAAAGGTATTTCTCAGGATGTGGCTGGTTCATTGGACAGTTTCTTAGGTCATCCATGTAGTGACAGTAGCTATTAGGGAGGAGAACGTGACTCCAAGAGACAGAGAGCCAAAGAGAGTGAGAGACAGACAGGCTGACTCTGGGACGAGAGCCTCAGAAGCAACCACACTCCCCTGTGGAGAAGAAGGTTTCATTCCATGTGCAGCTGTATTTTTTTTCTGATGTACTTTCCTAAATTAATAATGTGGAGGTGGAGGTGAGGGTGGATTTTAAATGAATCCTATAGGGAGAATTATGGCTTATGTATGTATTTTTTTCCATTTATAGCATGGCAGAGGGTTAGACTTTTAAAAGGTTTATAATTGCTCTTATTCCTCTGCTGATTTTTTAGAAAATCCTGTCAGTCATCTTTGATCAGAAGATATTTAGGTAAATTTCTTTCTGAAGAGATCATGAAACTCTAGATTCTAAAATGTGTGGTGAGAAGTCATTGTAGTGGATGAATGCTTGGGCCTTCATGAAGTGAGGAGATGCCACTCCACCCAGACGGGCTTGCGGAGTCTGCATTCAGGGATTCCCTAGTCTGTCCAATCATCACTGGCTCCTGCCGCCTGCCCGTGCCGTCCAAGGCACCTGGCCTTGGGCAGGCGTCAGGTAGCTGTGCCCGGGCCACATCTGCCCTCCACGTTCATCTCTCCCCCTACAGATCATAGGGATGGTTTCCTCATTTTATTATCATGCAAATGATGTACATAAATACCTGGTTACAAACAGGCAGCTTAGAGCAACCAGGAGGCCCTTTTCTCAGTGACAGATCACACTCTCTTAGAGTAGTCATTTTTGAATAATTGTTGCAAAATATGAAAACTGTCAGCAAAATTTCTGCGCCACTGAAGTCGTCAGGAAGCGTTTGGGAGAATACGTGTCTGTGCTAGATGCTGTTGAAGGAGGTCAGGCCATTGGGGTCCCTTCCTTCTTAAGTCTCCTCCACCAGCTTCCAAATAGGGGATGCCAGCTTTGCGCCAGGCACACACTACCTGCTGAGACGCTACGCATGAGCAAGACCTTGACCTAGGGCTCCCTCTAGGGAGGAAGATGACCAGAAAGTAGACACTACCAAGACAGTGCTAAGTGCTACAACAGGGGTCAGAGCTGCACAGGGAGTCCCCAGAGGTAGTGAACCCATCATCAGGGCTTAGGAAAGAGCTTCTAAAAGAGGATAAAGCCAAAAGGTGACACCAAAACCTGGGTATTTCTGTGGGGTGGCTTTTTTCCCTTTCTGTTGTTCTACTTGTACTATCCAGTAGAGTAGCCAACCCACCTCCAAGGAAAATAAAATTCAAAATACATAATGTAATCAGTACAATGATAGCTCTTATTGTTTTGCTTCTGAACTTCAAGCTGTGAAGTCATTCTTGTAACACAGGCTGAATTTTCCCCCTCAGCCATGGTGTTTAGTGAGTGTGAATCTTCATTCAACCATTAAAATCTCTAAGAGTATTTTTATACTAACAGTTCACAAACTCATGGCAATTATAGTCTAAGTAGATTCCAACTCCTGCCCCCACCCGTCTTCCTGCCACCACCGCCGCCTGGTCTCTGGAGGAACTTGGAAAGAATTTACCAGCCTTTAGGAACATTCAGCACTTTAAAAGTGTCACAGAGCCATAAATAAAGAGTAAGACACCCCTAAGGCTGTCATCTCATCACCACGCCCGTCTCTGCTGAGGAGGACAGAGACAGGAAGGAAATTCGACAAGTTCACTGTGCAGAAGCCAAGCAGGCCCAGCCACATGTGGGAGGGTCGGCGTCTGTGTCCCAGCAGTGGGGCAGGAAGGTGTGCGAGGGAAGGGGTTGCCTGGAGGTGAGGCTGTGCAGCAGGCCAGCCCAGCCCTGGGCTTGGTGTTCCAGGAGAGACCAGCACATACGTGAGTGAGGCAGGGTGCTACTGTTGGTAGGGTGGGAAGTGACCACGCAGGGTAGGGTGGGGGTTTCATGGCTAGTGGGCGGCCAATTCTGCGACATTGCTGTGTTCTGCATGGAATATTTTCTGGATTCTTGCCAAGGTGTTTACTCAGCCTAGGGAAAGACAGGAACACATGAGGGGCCCAGACCTTGCCTCCTGCTCCATGATAGGGTTTTGGAGGGCATACATTGCACATCTGGAGCTTAAAAATAATTAAACATGTAGAAATAGAACTTCAGTGAAGGATAATGTATTAGTGGAGGAAAGACCAAATGGAAGATGGTGTTAACCAGTCCACAAATAGAAATGAGTGTTATATTAGGAGCCTAAGGTGGGACAACCACACTTCCCCAGAGCTCTTTAAAAATAGTGCAGACACTCATGCCTCTAGTATGATTCAGTTCAGCTCCTCATTGAACCAGGGAAGAGACCGACAGACTTCACACCGCTTCTTCTGTTCCTGTAATTCTCCACTGTGCAGCTTGGGATTTCCTGGAGATGTTTCCATAAAAATAGAGAGATGCCATCATCACTGTCGTCACTGTCACTGCTGTACAATAATAAAAGAAGGTGCTAGGATGCCTTCCTGTAAGTTTTAGGCTAGATGTATTAAAAAGTATCCGGTATTTCCATTGCATTGACTCATCTGTTATAGCATCATGAACTACAGCACTGTAGAAGGGGGTGTGAACATTTGACTTTGGCCTCAACTTCTTTCTTTGCATGCCTTGCTTTGGCACTCTTCTGTGGACATCAGTTGCTGTTGACCAGGGAAACCTGAGCAGTGGTCTGTGTTCAGAATATGTGTTAGGTGCATGGTATCTTGGAAGCCCAGAGCATCCTAGTAATCTTCTAAGAATACTACTATTTCTGCAGGTTTTATTTTTCTAAACTTTCTGTTTTAACGGTTCTTCCAGAATTCATTCTCTTCTTAGCCTCTCCTTTCGAGCCCACTCCTCTCCCACCCCTAAAAACAAAACCCAAACCCCAGGCATCTTTCCTTTCTATAAATGCTGGGCTCCACACACCGCAGCCACCACCCTGCCCTGCCACGTGAAAACAGGCTGTGGGTGTTTAGTGGAATTCTCCTGTTTAAAATGACTGAAAGGGTGTGGGAGGACAGGTGTGGGGGTTGCCACACACCCCCTCGTGAGCTTGAAGGGGGTCGTGGAGGGAAAGGGCATCTCAGTGCAGAGCTCCAGGGTCTGGGAATCATCACGCATGTTTCCGAGAACCTGTTGACTGCAGTTTTCACTTTGAGGATACCCTGGGCCCTGTTTGGAGAGGCTTTGTGGCCCTGAAGAGAGTACAACACTGTCTTTTCAGTTGCTAGTGTTCTGCTCCCATGACGTAAAGACGAGGAGGTCTCGTTCCATTTATGGGTTTTTCCCAGAGTCCAGAGCAAGTGTCTGCTGCACTTGTGGGGCCCCACACTAGGCCCTGACACCCTCAGGGGAGGGCTTCAGGGGCACCACAGGCCACCCTCATCTGTAGCCAGGGACCAAGCTGCTGCAGTGAGATGGCCAGGCTGTGAGGCAGTGGTCTCTAGGACCCAAGCATCCCTGGGTCTTTCTCGCCTGCAGGAAGAGCTGCCTCTCTTGCTCTCGGCAGAGTACTCTCCTGGCTCAGGCCCTCATCAGGCTGCTGCCACCCAAGGGCGCCCTGCAGGGCCACTCGATTCAGTCTGCAGGCTCCTGGGAACACTGTTCCTGCTCCCACAGCCTCTGAGCACGCCTGTGACCTCAACCTGCCCCAGGTGAGTTCCATGCCACTAAGGTGCCTGTGAACCTCCAGGGCCATTGCTCATCTCTGTCCTGTAGATGCACCTGCCACAGCCAGTGCCTGACACCTTTGAAGCCTCAGGGCAACAGCACGGTGCAGGTGTCCCAGCAGGGCAGGGCAGATCCCGAGTGTGCAGGTTTATAAGAAAGCAGTCCCCTTCAAAAGAAAGGTGGTGTGGGGTTTACTCTTTTTTGTAGAGATAGGGTCTCATATTGCCCAGGCTGATCTTGTACTTCTGGCCTTAAGTAATCCGCCCCCTTGGTCTTCCAAAGTGCTGAGATTCCAGGCACACCCAGCCTGGAATTTAGTATTACAGAGAGTAATTCCATGCACTGTTTCATACAACTGAGATCGTTCTCATCCTTGCCTGAATCTTTAAGTAAGATATTAGCTCAAAAGATGCATGCCTCTCAGACAGTATCGCGTGTTCCATGTGCTCAGACCAAAAGAGAAATAAAATCCAGAGCAAATAAAGATCTAACATAAAATACGAACTCCAAAAATCTTAGAAGAAAAAATATGTTTCGAATATTGAAGAGGACCTTCCCAATCAAACAGGAAGTTTAGAGGCCATAAAGGAAAAAGAGAGTGTTTGATGCATAAAAATGTGTAGCATCTATAGAGAAACCCACCGCAAAGTTTAAAGAAATGACTGGCTAGGGGAGATAGTTGCAACACGTAACAGACAAAGATGTGTAACCATAATATGTCAAGCTTTCATATAAATACATAGGAAATAAATGAGAAAACTACAAACACACTAATATGATTATGAAAAAGAGAAATACAAATTACCATAACCATTGGGAAAGATCTGAAATTACCAGTAATTAGAGAAATATGAATTAAAATGCGACACATATTTTTGCTTATCCAATTGGCATCAATTAAAAGGGTGAGTCTCCACTGTGAATGAGGGCGCAGGGAACGTGCCTTCTGGGTTAGCCTAAACTAGTGCAGCATTTACGAAAGGTAGATTCTCAGTAGCCATGAAGATTAAAAGTGATGATGCCCTGGGCCCACAGATGTCACTTTTAGGAGTCTTTCCTACAAGTACACTGACAAACGTGTGCCAACCATACACTTGCACATGTACACGTGCGATCTTATGGTCATAAGAGAATAAAGAAAACAAGCAAGTTGCCTGAACAGCCACCAGCTGGAGAAGGCAAATTCCAGTATGTGTGCCCTCTGTAACAGACAGCCGCCAGACAGAGCGAGGCCAGTGCATATGTGTTCTTGTTTAAAGAAGTCTGTGATGTATTAAGTGAAAAGAAACAAATAAGATATTTGCACATCGATTCAAATAACTGAAAAGAGGAAAGCCTTTATTTCATAGCAAACACAGACACGTACAACGGGGGCCTGGGCTTTCCCATGGGACAGAGTGGGGCTTGGTGGAGTCAAGGCACTGTGGGTTGGGAAGGGAGACTTTACACTGCACTGTTTCCTTCTATATGATTTAAATTTTCAAGTTTTCATTATTTTTGTAATGAAAATTCTTTTCAAATGAAACACAAATATGTAAAAAATGCCCAGAGACTTATGAAAACATAATTTGATTTGCTTTGCTGCAAATGCTTATCTGCATAGCTTTCCATATTCAAGAACAGATGACCTAGAAAGGCGTCCTCCAAGGGAAGAGTTGATCCATTGCAGGACTTTGTGTACCTCCCCTGTCACCATGATTTTCCTGTTTCCATGTCCATAAAGCAATGAAGTTCTCTTGAAAAGAAAACATTTGGAAATCCCAGGGTATGCTTTAACTTGAAAGGTAATTTGTGAATACTCTGCTATTGAACCACAAAATAAAAATAAGGGTTGGTAAACAAGGCATTATTTGGGGTTCAGTCCTTACACTGTGTTCACTGCCTTTGTCCTGAGCGGAATCTCTCTGCTTCCTTTCATGCTTGTCCCTGGGTGATCTCCTCGGGCTGGTGGCCAACCCCCTGCACAGACCCTCAGGGCTCCTGGAGGCGCAGTCAGGCACTCTGCAGCCAGTGCAGGCCTTGTCCTGTTGGCGGTGGCTGCTCTCACAGAGAGCACACCCATGAACCTGGACAGAGCCCAGCGGGGCCACACATCCCAGCCCCTTCTCTCAGCCGGGGGTGCTGAGTCTAATCAATCCACCTTGTACCAGTGAAGCCACTTAGCTGCCTCCCGTGTCAGGAGGGACAAAGTAGGGGCTCCAGACAGCCTGGGAGACGCCACATGGTGTGTGGGGGTAGGGTCCTGAGAAACACAGGGTCAAGGCCAGGGTGTCCCAGACACAGGAAGGTTACGCACAGGGGCAGAGTCAAAGACTGTGTTCCTAGGTAAACAAGCGTGTCATACTTCCTGTGGCCTGTGAGCAGAAATACGGTCACATTTCCATTGGAACCCAATTGTAAAGGGCCCAAGCCCCTGCTTGAAGCAATTTCAGTCTTCCCAGGAAGCCCCCAGCATGAAAATTGTTGATAAGCCCTGGGGAGCTCTTGGGTCGGGGGGTGGGGGTGTCATATAAGTGTGGCAGCTCTGCTGGACATTTCCTCCCCATAGGAAGTAGACACTCAAGCCCCGAGGCTGGGCCGGGCACCAGGTTCCTAGAGTCCCCACCACTCAGCCGACAGGTCACAGGGGACCCCAGGGCAATAGCAGCCCCTTGGCTGGGGCAGGGTCAACAGGCCTCACTGACTGCCAGCCTCGGGGAGCTGCTCGGGGCATGGCCTCTATACCTCTGAGCATGGCTTTGTCCGTGTCCACAGGGAAGGGTGATGTTCCCACTGACCTGGCCTCTCCCTGCCTGTGGGGGCAGGGGGCACTTGGCAGGTCCACTTGCTCGCTGTGCACAGCTCAGCCATCGGCCTCCCACACACTCCGCTTTCCATTCTTAAGGCACCAGCCCCTCTCCTATAGACCCCAGGGCCCCGCTGCCCTCCACTCCCACCCTCAGTCCCTAAGGTGTTGGGATCTGAGTGTGGAAGCGGAGGGCAGTCTCAAAGGGTAGGACGTGGAGGAATCCACAGAGCCCCTCGTCCACCCTCACCCTCAGTTCCCAGGGTGTGGATGGCAGATGCACGCAGCCGTAACTGCTAGGGAAGCACCACCTGGTCTTGGCCTGCATCACCCCACATAGGAGCAGATGTGCTGACAGATACACCTCCCCACTGACCAGGGCCTGAGCCCTGCTGCAGCGCAAGTGTGCACATATGTGTGTGATGCGTATGTGTGTGCATGTGTGCTGTGAGCCCAGGGCAGTGCAGTTAATGGTGTTCTCTCCTCTTCCTCCCGCCTTGTGTCATGTCCCACATGATGCCACCCCTAGATTCCTGCACTGTCTTCCTCACAGCATCCCCGAGCCCCTTGCTCTGAGTTTACATCACTGCATGGACAGTCACTTCCTTCCAGCGTGGGGGACTAGGAATGAAGCAGGCAGCAGAGCCATGGGCTGGGAGAGGGGGGCAGAAAGTGGGTCCAGGTCCCCCATGAGCCCTTGACCTACTTCCTCTCCCGAAACAGGGGTCTAACTCACCTGCGTCCAGCTACTGGCCCAACACTCTGTGACTGGAAGTCACTCTGTGCTGCTGGACTCACGTGTGAAGTGTGTGTCAATAGCATTTGGGGAATTTTGGAGTGGTGGTGTCAGAAACCCAGGGGAGACCTGACCACTCCTGAAGTGCTGGAAACAATGTTTCCTAACTCACCTGCATAGCCACAACCTTGGAGGGAAGGGGCCGATGTGATTTTTCCTTTTGAGTATGGGTCCCTTGGGGGATTGCTCTGAGAAACTCCACTCAACCATAAAGACGGGTTTAACTTTTTAGAGCAGTGACATTAAAGAAATAGCTTCAGTTTGGGGAGACTCTCAATTCCCTGTGGTGGGGGATGGAGGGTGTCCTCTGGCAGGAAGAGGGTCTAGGTGATGGGAGCCCCGGGCTTTTCATGTTCTAGGAGAAGGTGGCACCCAGGGGCCTGCCCACAGACCTGACTGGGGCCAACACTCTGGCCTGGACTTATGTCCCCATGTGGGAAGCAGGGATCATTACAGCCAGCACTTCCAGAGGTCTGTGGGTGGATAGACGTACCTTCTTAAGGGCCTCTCATTCTAGCATTGCAGAGACAAGGTTTGTGGGATGAAGATGCTGGGGAGCAGAGGTCTGTGGGGAAGAGTACCCTCTCAGGCCAACCTTTCTGCTAGATGTTCTGAGGACACCCTAGTCCTCCCGTGGCCCAGGCAGCGGGCTGGATCCAGTGGCAGGTGTGGCCAGAAGCACAGGCTTCCGGCTCCCTGGCTGCAGGTTTGCTCGGCCTCCCAATTGTACCTTCATGTCTCTTTCCCTAAAGTGGGACAGTTGTGCTGTCTTCTGTGGCCTCTGAGGACCAGATGTGTGCAAGAGGCCTTCAGGGCCTGCTGGCTGGCACAGTGGCGGTATCTGGAGAACGGGGCGGGGCCAGAGGGGCCAGGTGGCTAACCATTCTTCTCTTTCACGGCAGCGGAGCTGGAGTTCGCCCAGATCATCATCATTGTCGTCGTGGTCACGGTGATGGTGGTGGTCATCGTCTGCCTGCTGAACCACTACAAAGTCTCCACGCGGTCCTTCATCAACCGCCCGAGCCAGAGCCGGAGACGGGAGGACAGGCTGCCACAGGTGAGTACCCTGGCCACCCTGGCTCCAGAGTCAGGCAGCGGCAAGAGACTCAGGAGCCCATCAGGGTTCAGAGGCTGGAAGCACCTTCAGTTGACATTTAAAAAACAGGGTGAAGCATACCTCTAAGTGTTCCGCCTAGTGAGTCCCCACAAACTGAACACATCGGTGTGACCAGCACCCAGTCAAGAAATAGGCATGGCAGTCCTCCCAGAAGCCCGCCTGGCCACTGCCAGGCCTCCCCTGCCGAGTGTGTGGCTTTGCCAGCTTTGGAGCCGTGCATCGTTGGGGCCGGCCATGGTGCTCCCTCGTGCCTGGCTCCTCTGGCTTGGCAGTGCACTTGTGAGATACATTGTGTTGTAAAGTCCTGTCCTGAGCTGGGTCCTGAGGGTTCTTCTGGGACAAATCACACATTCATTGTCACTAAACGTGCCAGCAGTGCCTGGGTGCCATGAGCTGGAGGACACCCGGAGCTTGAGGCCATGGGAGCCTCCTAGGGGATCAGCGGTGGGGTTGTAGAGGGGTACACACTCAGCTTGGGTTAATTTTAAGTTTCCAATTATTTCTTGCCCCAAACCAGCTTCCTCCTCTGGAAAGTAAAACACAGATATTCAGCCAAACTGCTCTGATCAAACTTGGGAGACCGGGGGCTGCTAGAGCATCCTGTCCTAAGCCTGTTTTGCAGGCTGTGATTTTGATGGCTTTGCTTCCAGCCAGAGGGTTAGGAGCGGTGAATTCAGCGAGCTTATAGATCCTTGACTTCAGTGGTGGGCAGCATGGCCGAATCCTGCAGTTTGCTGAGCACAGGAGAGGCATCCCTTTTCAGGACCAGGGCTGTGCAGTTCCTGCTCCTGCCCTGACTTAGGGAGGCTGTCCAGGGTGCAGGGTGTAGCCATCCAGGTGGGTTTCCTAGAGTGGTTTCCCTTAAACCGCTGGGACCCCTCTCAGGAAGGCAGGCTCACACTTCACTGGGCCCATTGGTGCAGCCATCCATATGGGCAGAGTGGAGGTGTGCTCTCTGCTTTGCAGCTCCTGCAGGTAGTGGGGAGAGGGAAGGGGTTGGTGCCACCAAGTGCTACGTTCAGACTGTGGCGATGGCTGGACACGGCAGCCTCAAGGAGGAGATGGGATGCCAGGGAAGGTGTGCACCCCGACAGCCCTTTCCTCCGCTCGCCACTGCATCCTCTCTTGCCCCTTCTGCCCTCTCTTCGGGTGCTCAGTCTAGTCTACAAGCCCCTCTGGCCCTGCAGTTTACCTTCCTCAAGCCTCAGCAGCTGCGCCGTCGAGATGTACTGAATGCTTTGGCATCCTGCTGCCTGTAGATTGTTGGACAGAGGGTGGACTAATTCTTCTGAAGTTCCAAACACACAGTGTATGCGATTCCTCTGTTTCAAGAGAGGACAGGGAGAAAATCTCAGCACAACGGCAGTTTCAGAACCACAGAAGGCTAAGACGTGGCTGCTTTGTCTTAATGTATTACAGGCTGTGAACACCACTCCTGGCCTTGGTGGAAACAGGCACAGCCTTCCCTGGCCTCTCCAGGAGCTCCGGAACGCTTGGTGTCTCTGTGTGCGGGCACACAGGGAGCTTTTCTATCCCCTGCCTGGGCCCTCCCTGATCTTCCTCCCAGACTTGCCCCGGTGTTGGCTTCTCTCTCCCTAGCACAAGTCACGCAGCTCCTTCCTCTGTGCCAGGCGCATGCCCAGCCCCCTTGCAGTCCCTGTTCATAGCACCTTGTGTCCTGAACCTGTTCGCCAGCCACACCTTTTCCGACCAAAAGGCACAGCAGAAAAGCAAAACGTGTCAAAGAAGTGTCTTCTCTGTCGTTGTGGCGGGCTTGTGTGACGTCCTCTCCTGGGAAGCGCCACTGGCCACCAGCAGAGCCTCCCTTCCCTGAAATCAGGAAGGTGATGAAGCGACATTCAGAGGTCCCTTCAGGTCTGCACACTGTGTGGCAGGTGAAGACATTTGGTAGCCAGTGAATTGTATCCACAGAGGTCCACATCCCTGTCTGGGCCTGGTTCTGTTAATGTGCATGTACAGTCTTGCCCCTGAGAGCTCTGCTCGGGAGCTGCGCTGGCGCTTGCAGAGATGCCGGCTGCACACAGCATGGTTTGAGGTCCTGAGCTGCTACGATATTTCTGCTTTTTTTCCTGAGTAACCTGGAATTGAAAGCTGTCCCTCCTCGAGGTTGGGCTGTCCCTCCTGTGGCTTCTACACAGCTTAGCAAAGGGCTCTGTGTGATGTTTCATAAAACGCAAGATGCATTCCAGCTCAATGACCAGAGGCAGCCCAGCCCAGGCCCTTGCTCCACTTCCCAAACTGGTCTCTTAGCCTAGTTCATGGTTCCCCACAAGGGAAAAGAGTGGCAGCTGATGAGGTTCTCCATTCTCTCCTGGACACAGACTCAGGCCTCGCTAACACTGTAGGTGTGGCCGTGCTCTCCATTTCCCCCTCTCTGCCGTGAGGGTCCCCTCACCTAGGTCCTCTCACCCCAGGAATGCCCTCACGCAGACAGGCTTCCTGCCTCCTAGTTCCCTACTTCCCCCTAGCTGCTTTTAAGAAATGCCTATTCCCTGATCGCTCCCCTGCGCAGTATTAGGGGAGCGATCTGATTCATCTACACTCAGGTCAGGAGTCTCAATCAGGGATGATTCTGCCAAATGTCTAGAGGACATTTGCAGTGTCTGGCATCATAAGCGGGGGGAGGAGGGTCCTACAATGTGTCCTACAGTGCGCGGGAGGCCCCGAAACAAAGAATCATCTGAGGGATGTAAGCAGCGCTGAGGCGGAGGAGCGGGTCCCACCAGGTGCTGAGCACTGCCTGGCACGGGGGTGCTTCACTGACAGAAGAGGCCACCTGTTGCCATGAGGGAGTCTCCCTAGGCCGGCTCTGAGGCATCCACAGCATCTACTTCCCAGCAGTACAAGTTTGGGGTTCGGTCTGGGACTCTGCCTTGGGAACAGTTTCCCCTGGTGACTCCTGCCTCCTCTGCTTATGCAGTTCATTCAGTGGATGCCCCCCAGGAGCTGGGCACCGAGCAGGAGCAGGAAACAGTGGCCATGCCCCATCCCTGCCACCAGCAGCACCTGCAGTCCCCTGGCGGAAGCCAAGGCCCTGCTGCCATTCTCTCCATCTTCCTGGGGGAGGGTGGGGGCCTGGCTGGCCGATTGTGACTTTGGGATGGAAGAGTGTCAGGCTTGGGAGCTGTGGGAGGTGTTTGGGGCAGGCATGAGGACCTGCGTCTCCTCTGTTTCCATGCCCAGCCTGGCCTGACCCATGTGCAGTTGGCGAGGGCAGTTCCAAGTTGCCTGCTTCCCCATCCCTAGGTGACTGCCTGTGTCAGGTAGCCCCCTCCCAAGGGGCTTGGAAGGGGCTGGACAGACACGGCTGGCTGGTTGGCATGGCAGGGAGGGCCTTGTGCCTCTTGGCAGAGCCTGGTAGTCCTCCGCCTCCGGGATCCCTGTGCTGCTGTGCGGGCCTGTGCTCCTGGGTGAGGCCGCTGGGGAGGAGGTGTGTGTGTGGGCAGGTGCTGCCACCCTCATGGCTTCGTTCCATTATCAGAGCCCCTGCAAGCTGCTAAGCACCCCTTCCTTCTCAGCACCGATGTCCCAGGCCTTCCTCCCTCAGCACCCGAGGCCCTGGGAGCCCAGCACCCTCTAGTCGGCAGCTGAGGGTGTGTGTCCCTCCCATCCCCTCTGTGGGGACAGCCTTCTTCGGAGCCTGTGCGTTGCTGGGGCACCTCCTATGGGGGCCCATTAGTAGAGACCCACCCGAGGGCTGCGTGAGTGCGTTAAAAAATGCTGTTTTTTTGAAACCTGATGCCAGAAGGGCTGGGCATCAAATTAACCAACTTTTAGGTGATTTGACTTCACACTCTGGTTAAACTAATTGTTCCATCTTTCTGCTGGAAGCCTGGAGAGTGGAGGTGGAAACATAGCATGAGGCAGTAGGATGGGACTGGGTTTTGGTTTTGAGGAGGATGAGCAGGCGGGCAGCCTTACTTGGTTGTGGAAGTTTCCCACCCTGCTGTGAGCGGCCCTTTGCCTCCTCCACAGGTTGTCCCCTTTGACCACAAGGAAGGGCCAGACCAAGGTTAACCAGATAGCGTCGCAGTGGCCCTGGCTTCCCTGCTTCTTTCGGAGAGTCCCCTTCTGAGAAGTGGTGACTGCCCCGCTGCCGTCTGTGGCCCCTTTCCTGAGGGAGTGACCGGCTCAGCCAGTTCTGGTCCCAGTCCCATGGGGTGTGCTCCTGTGCAGGTGAGGAGCAGCAGCCCTACTCGCCTCAGCCAGCACCCCCTCCCACCTCCAGGGCCCTCCTCCCCTCCGCCAGCATCCTCCTGATGCTAGCACCTTCCTCCCAGGTCCCTTGGCCTGGGACAATGCATGCCGCATGAACGTGATGGGCGTCCTGAAGCCAGTCAGCCTTTGTCGCCGCACAGTAGACACTGTGTGTCTCAGGGGAGCCCAGGGACATTGCTGGGCCTGACTGTGGTGGAAGTAGCCATTTCTGGATAAAAATGAAAACTAGCAACTCAAATGTAAATTATGTCACAGGCAAAGCAAATGCTTATATCATGGCAGATAGCAGTGGTGGGTTTGAATCTGAATCCTTGTGTGTTTGAATTTGAATCTCTGGAGCCTGGTTTGAGTGACTTCTGAGCTTTGAGACTGTCTATATTTCTTTTCATTTTCTTAGACCACTTAGTTATGGGAAAACAGTAAAGGGGCATGAATATTCCAGACACAGACGGAGACCTGTTTGAACAAGTTGCTGGCACGTTTCTTGCTAGAGCTGAGAGAGCCTAGGTGACCTTTTATGACTGCCTGCAGCCTGGCCCAGAGGGTCCAGCCCAGCCTGTGGGGACAGCCCAGGGCAGCAGATGGCATGCAAGCAGAAGGGGTGGCCATCAGTGGATGGAAGGAGAGGCAGGAGAGGGGCGGGGACTTTTACCCACATTGAAGAGCACGAAATTGTGGACATTCAGCCATTTTTGACCTAT